AAATATCTTGGATTAATACTTGACCATAAATTAACTTTTAAAGCACTTCACTTCACTTCACTTCACTTAAAAATCACTTCAAAGGATTCAGAACAAAATTCTGAAGATGATTTTGAAGTTGCCTCCCTGGTACAGTACTACCGAAGTACATAGAATTCCGAATGTTGAGACTTTAGAACAAATGTCCAACAAAATAATTAATAATTTCCGGCAAAAATCGTTACAATCCTCAATTGCAACGATTAATTCCCTTTATACTTAGATAAGATTTAGTTTTAGTTATTTAGTTTTAAGCTATCAATTGTTATACTGACATGCAGGTTTAAAAAACCTGTTTAAAATACTGAATTGCCAAGACAGGAACAATGTAAAAACACTTAGATATATATCATAACAATTAAGGCTGTTAAGTTACTGTAGTAACTGGAGCACCTAGGTTAAAAATGAAATGTAATTTATTTTGAATTTGGAACAAATAAAGAGTTAAAAAAAAAAAAAAAAAAAAAAAAAAAAAAAAAAAAAAACATGAAAAGTACTAAAACAAAACATCAATAAGTACATAGATAGTCATCTCGTAAAAAAAAAGGAACATTACTAAACAAACTAAACTGATCTAGAAAAAAAACGAACTAAACCTCCGGCGAAGCAGCTGGCGGAGACCCGATTGAAGAGTCTCTGTAAACCACCGATTGCACCGAACATGCTATAATTAGTTCGCTGTATGGGCAGGCGCAGCATTGAATTATTCCGTAGGGCTCGGGGTTGAACATTGATGTCAATTTGCTCAAGGAGGACAGGGCAATCGGAGCGTCCTTGCAAAATATCCGTAATTAGCAATGCCCTTGCTGTATCTCTTCGGACCGACAGGCGCTCCAGATGGATCAGTTGCAAACGACTTTCGTAGCTAGGCAATCGGAAGGGATCCGTCCACGGCAGTTTACGTAGCGCATATCTCAGGAACCGTCACTGAACAGACTCAACTCTTTCGACACCGTTGTTGTAGTGAGGAGTCCAGACAACCGAGCAGTATTCTAATATGGAGCGAGACAAGGAGCAGTATTTACAACGATTTAAGGCAGTAGATATCCGTGAAGTCTTTGGCAATCCTGAAGATAAACCCTAGAATTCTGGAAGCTTTGTCGACGGCGTGCGAGATGTGCTGCTTGAAAGAGAGTTTTGTATCCAGAATCACGCCTAGGTCCTTAATTTGGCTGACGCGCTCAATTTCAGTGCCTAAAAAAAACATACTTGAACATAATAGTCTCTTACTTGCGCGAAAAAGAGATAACCGAGCATTTGGACGGGTTAACTTCCATACGATTCAGAATACACCAATCAGCAAAAGCATTCAGCTGACGTTGAAGGAAGCAACAGTCTTCAATTGAGTGCATTCGGAGGTAGGTCATCTGCGTAAGATAATCGTGGTCCCTCAATTACCAGATTCACGTCGTTGAAATAAATCAGGAAAATCAGCGGTCCCAGGTGACTACCCTGGGGTATGCCGGATGTGGCAGCAAACGTACGGGACTGGTGATCACCAATGGCAACAGTAAGATAGCGATCGGTAAGGTACGACTGAAACCATTGCAAGAGGCAGCTGTAGATACCAAGCCTGTCCAGTTTAGCGATTGATATGCGGTGATTCAATTTATCGAAGGCAGCAGATAAGTCAGTACAAATGACATCCGTCTGAGCACGATCCGACATACTGTTAGAGATGTAGGAAGTAAGGCACAGCAAGTTAGTGACAGAGGAGCGACCAGCCATGAAACCATGCTGGTCGATACTAATATACGGCTTACAGTGAGCGAGTAACGGTTCCATAGCAACGAGTTCGAACAATTTAGCAACAGCGCTAAGCGATGTAATGCCACGGTAGTTGCCTTTTTTATGTACTGGAAACATGTGCTCTAGCTTCCAACAGGATGGGAAAACTCCGACGTCCACAGACCTTTAAAAAACGGGCAGCAGTGGAGACATCAAACTGTCCAAGTGCGTTTTGAGGAACGCCGATGGAATTCCGTCAGGACCCGGATTGTACGACGACTTGAGTTTCGAGGAAGCCCTGAAAAACATCTCGGGATTGATGTCAATTCTGCTCATGGTTTGGCCAGAGAGTGGTACGTAACTGGCAGCCAGTCGGGCATGGTCGTCACTCAGTCTCTCGTCCGTGAATACACTAGCAAATTTTTCAGAGAACAGCTGACAGATATCTTGCGTAGATGAGGCCACGTTACCATTATGTGTCATAGACGACGGCAGACCAGCTTCATGACGTTGTTCGTTGACAAACTTCCAAAACTGCTTCGCAACTCGTTTGTATGCGTGATTGATCCTGACATAGTGACGTTGAAGGGATAGTGTGCGGTGCTTGGTGAACTTCCTAAGAGCGGCTCTCTTTCTGGATTTCAGTCGACGAAATTCGCTCGGCGCTTACAAAACAAAGATCCAAACTGCGGTTGTTCTGGTTAATAACATGGTTGATTTGAGAAAGAGTGGCTGAGCTGTAATTGTCCAGAAGGAGCGAAGCGTAGGAATGGATGACATCCCAAGTAACAATCTAAATGCTTGGAAGATTTATTCTTATTTTATCATTGTTTTATCATAGCATCCCTTTCAGCCTGTGGTTGTATTACGGTTTTGTGTGATTGTCATAAAATCAGGCCGTCAAGTCGTCTATAAAACTGTTTTATGACTACTAAATTAAAACTCAGACTTCATAGTTTTAACGGTAGCTGTAAGGTGGTTCTGCATCACTACTTATAACTGAAGAATAAAACCAAAACAAAACATACAATTATGTTTTATGGTACACTTTTTATGACCGATATAAAACTTGAAGCAGTCTTAGACCTTCATTAAAGCTTCATTACAACTATCATCTTTATCAGAGGCCTAAGATTCACAGATAAGAAATATACTGCTACAACAAAAAATACTCTGAAATTTTTTGTCATTATAAAAAACAAATCTATTCAGATATATGAAATGAAAACCCCTTCAGTGCTTCTGAACACGATGAAGATGAGACGATCGACAATATGAAACTCCTGGAGGAACTACAGTTATACGATCCCTACATAAGGCACAGTGCGGTGAAGGAGCTCTTAAAAATATTGAACAAGCGGTTTTCCGATACACTTCCGAAAGATCCACGAGCCCTTCTTAAAGCAACGCCGACAGTTTCACTAAATCCGTTTGGAGATGGCCAGTATTGACATCACGGCTATAAACCTTGTATTGAAAAAGCTTTTAGTGGATCCAATAAGCATTTCTTACATCTTGATTACAAGCGAAAATAGGAGGATCGCTTGGAATGTTGATTTTTTGACAGGTGGTCATGGTTTTTGTTTTGTTTTGATTCGCTGTACCGAATAAAACCAGCAAGCTAGTTATATAGCTTAAATATAACTTAACGCTCTCAATTTGGACTACGAAATGCTAAGATACAACCATTAGGTTTATGTTATGCTATAGAATTCCAATCTAGGAGAATATGTTATATTGAGGTATTTTTAAGGAGTAGCAAGTTATAACGAAAAAAAATGTCGCCGTATGAACAAATTTCACACAGTATGAATAATTACGCTTTAATTGATAGGCAATAAAACACTTTCATACATCTATGTATAATTAAATAATATGTGACTGGTTATTGCTCAACAGTAGTAACAGTTTTGTACTAAATAGATAATCTTTGAATGACTCTTTAATGCATGGTGCTAATGCAGACAAATTAAAAATATCCCTATATTTTAGTATTCATATGGCGCACTAAATTTATGCTCCTATTTGGTATAATAATCACCATAAATATTGCACGGCATGCTGTGAAGCATATACAGATTGGTTTAAAATTATAATAAAGTCGTCTTATTTTCAATGTACAATAATATCAGCCATTATTACCAACTGACAAGGATCATGATTTCACATCAAACATCGAAAGAATAAAACCACAATAAAATATTTCCCAATATTAACTATTATCCAAAAACCCCAACTTAAAACCTTCAAAGTTGTCAAAATGTTTTGCGTATCATGTTTTATCAACTTCTTCAGGAGCGATTTATGCGGTTGTAATATAGTTTTATGGTAGTCATTAGAAGGCTGTTAAAACTTTCTGACCTGGAGGAGGTTTTATGTTTTCATTTTTAACAATCACATCTAGAGTGTGATAAAACTGACATAAATCCTATGCTCCTAAAGTAGTTCGCATATCAAGTTTTAATTACTGCATTAAAACTGGGCCAATTGGCCATGACATAGCTGTATTGCGGTTCTCAGGAGATTGTTAAAGCAATGTGGTCGTCAGTGAAGGTTTTATAATTTGGTTATATCAACTGCTATAAAACTTAAATAAAACAAAAATTGTTGCTTGGGCAGAGTGATCCATGTCAGGATAGAGGAAGCCGTTGCGAGTTTTTTCGTTGAACAGAAGCCCTTTGTGGAGAGAGGCAATCACGCTTACCACTACACCTTGAGACTAGACGAAATTCACCCTAGTGGCTCAACCAAGACTTCTGGGAAACTAGCTCAGTAGCATGAGACCCCTGAACTGTTTCACAGTGCCGACATGCTAGTGGGTAATTCCGAGGGGCTACGCGGAACAAAGTGTGCAGAAGTGTGTGGGATTTCTTTAGCGATGGTGAAATGAATTGAAAGCTAAAGTGTGGGTGTGAAAGTAATTATGGTGTGCACAGATAAAAATTCTGAATTTTAATTGTGATGTAAACATTCATTCACGTAGACTTGTATTTCATTTCACGCAACCGAGCAACTTGCAAACAATGTTGTTTACAAACATTTACAAAGATGGGCTTTTGAATACAATATTTGCTACATTGCATGAAATGTGTCAGAACTTTACATGATATTTAATGTAAACGTATATGATATGTGACGCTCCATTTATGTGCATCATATTGAACAGAAATTTACACTACTTTTTCGAACTGTGTGGATTTTGAGGTTTTATTTGGGCTATTTTGGGGTGTGTTCTATGGGTTTCTGCTGCTGCGACTAGCCTGGTGACTGGAGCTGTGGTCACGACAATGGCGGATCTGAGACTTGGGTTTGCGCGCTGCGATGACGGTTCGCAACAAGGGAATGTAGCGATCCCTGTGCAGCTTCCGAAGTAGCCTTTTCTGGTCAACGGCGTCTCCCTTCGTTGGTGAATATCGGCTGACCGCGACAAGGCCACCTTGATCGAGCCAAGAAGTGTCTTTCTCCTTATCGATTGGGACTTCCGAGTCCGAGAATGCTCTTCTTTCTAGCGAGCTCAAGTCGGAGAGTGGAAGGTCCTTGACAGTCGAGACTGACTTGGTCGAAACGTACCGATCGTGAGGATCTATACGCGGAACAAAAAGGTCCTGAAGGACAAATGGTTATTTAAAACCAAGCCAAAATCGATTTTGGACAAACTCAGTTACCAGAACGAACACCAGGAACAGAAAATGGTCGTTCACTACACTTTGAGGCACTTTGTTCCGTTCCCTTTAGTACTGACTAGAGAGGGTCTAGTATAAGAGAGGAGCGGACTGGCTGGTTTTGAGCCAAACAAACTGCCATAGCCAGAGTCAATCGAACAGCGCCTATCTTCATTGCATTAGCAGTGTTGCTAGAAAGCACCTATGCATGGTATGCCACGCCATTCTGGTTTTAATTCGCTCCTCTATTATACTAGACCCTCTCTAGTACTGACTTAATATCCTCTCAATTTAATCACAAAAATAACAGGCTTGTCAATCATTGTCATGACAACCAAATATAAACTTTGTTCATCATTTGCACAACTACAGCCAAAGTTAGAACAATGTAAGTGAGACTCAATTATTTCCCATTGTAATCAGAGTTGCAACATATCACAATCACGATCGTCAGTCAGCTGATGATAGTAACGCTTTGTACATTCCTATCAATGTGCTCATTGAAGCTCTCTCCATGATCATCCATCAAGTTGACGAAAGAAGTAAAAAGCAACTGGTGAATGTCGTCTTCTGTTGTGATCCATCACCGATCTGGTCATTCCCGACAATCACTACACTCATCTGTCTCACTCTCGTTTTGAAACAGTTGTTGCTTTGCTTGCTTATATGAGTGTGTTGGTGAGTGAGCCCAACAGCTTCCGTTTAGTGTTGCCTGCTTTGTTTGTAACTCACACAGTCGTGCCTGCCGAGACAAACTTTTCTTCTGTCGTTTCGCTCTTTCTCATCACTGCAGAAGTCTTCATTGTTTTCGTTGTGCTTTTCATGATCAGCAGCGAGTGTAGCGTTTAGCCTGTGAGCAGCGACCATTACTGGTGATTGTTGTTTGCCATAGCTCTACCTCTCACTGCGTGACAAAACGTTCTGTCAGCGATAGTCGGTTGATGATTGTAATTCTAGACCTGTGCGCCGATCGAAATATTTTCGGCGGCGGCGTGATGTTATTTTCTGCCGGCGGCGGCGGCGTGGCGGCGTCACGCCGTTTGCTTTCGGTAGCGGCGGCGTGGCGGCGTGAGTTGGCGTGAGTTTATGTTTAATGATTTAGAAAAAAAAACTTCCAAACCAATCGCACATGGACAACCAATTAGTTCAGATTACTCAAACACGTTAAAACGTAGGTCACTCATAGTTTGAGTAAATTTTCCAATAATTTGTCGGGAAATTTTCTCGAATATGAGGAAAATTTAAAAAAAAATGTATACAAGTTAGAAGTGAACTAGTAGACAGACTAAAAACAAAATCATTTTTCGTCATATTCGAGATGTTTTCCTTGGAAAATCGTCGGAAAATTTATTCACTCTATGAGTGATCTACGTTTCCGCGAATTTGTGTAACCCGAACTCAAATATGAGTGACTTTTACTCAATTTTGAGTCGTTCTCATTGGCCGTGCATGTGGAATTTGTATAGAAAAGTATGTCAAGGACTTGTTAAGATTGCAGGGGGTGGAGTCATATGGCAAAGTTTTACAACCCTTTTATTAAGTATAAGAAAAGTACGTTATATAGTTTTCGAATTACAAACCCAATTCAACCTTCACGTATGGATTCAGCAAGGTCCGTTCAATAAAATTCAAGCTTATTTTTCAAAGATATGAACCGAAATGCAATTTGGCAGAACCTTAAAACTAAATTTCTATGAAAATACGTATGGATTCAGCAATTCTATAAAAATCCACGACTATTTTTAAAGGAAGGAGCCGAAATTCAACTTGGCTGAACAAGAAACACAAATTTCTATGAAAATACGTACTTTTGAGAATTCAAACCTATTTTTCTAAAAAAAAATTGCATGCTTCAATGTAATATCACGTATGAATTCAACAAGGTCCAGTCTATAAAATCTAAGCCCATTTTTCAAAGGACGGAGCCAAAATTCAGCTTGGTTGAACAGTAAACTTAAACTTCCATCAAAATATGTATTTTTGTGAATTCAAACCATTAAAATTAAAAAATTCAACCCTGACGTATGGATCCAGGTCCATTCTACAAAATCGAAGTCTATTTTTCAAATATCGGAGCCAAAATTCAATTACTTTTGGGAATTTAAACATGGTTTTCTCAAAAAATTGAGAAATTCTATCGTCACATTTGGATTCAGCAAGTTCTATTCCATAAAAATAAGCCTATTTTTCGAAGATTGGAGCCTAAATTCAGTTCGGCATAACATAAAAATCAATTTTCTATGAAAATACCTACTTTTGTGAATATTAACCAGGTTGGTCTTTCACGGACGGATACAGCAGGTTCCGTTCTATAAAATCCAAGCACAAACTTCTACAATAGAACAGAAATCCAACCTGGCTTCAAAAAAAATCTACCATCACGTACACACTTAGATTTTTTCGCCGAGATGGGCACCACCGAGCAGCTCGGCATTTTATTTTGCTGGATCTCAGTGAAAAACTTGCCGAGATTCAGCTAACAAACGGGAATTTTGCCGAGATCTCAGCTAACAAACATATTTTTTGCTGAATTTCCAGCAAAATAAAATGCCGAGCTGTTCGGTGGTGCCCATCTCGGCAAAAAAATCTAAGTGTGTATGAACTCACACAGGACTATTCTATAAAATACAGGCGTGTTTTTCAAAGGACGGAGCCAAAATCCAACTTGGCTGATCAAGAAACCCAAATTTATATAAAAACAAGTACCCACTTTTCTCAACAATTGTGCATGCTTAAAAAAATCTACCATACCACGAACACACAAAGGTCCATACATTGAAATCTTAGCCTAATTTTCAAAGGATGTGATTCTCACAAGAACGAGGAAGGGATCTAGGGGAGCAGAATCTACGTTAAAAGTTAATAAAATCACTTCAGGAAAGCTCCGACTAACATTAAATATAATTCAATCACTCAATAGCATAGTTTGGACTCCCCAAAAAAGGTATTGAACCACTTCAGAAAAGGTTGGACGCTGTTTCGAAAATTTAAGCTAAAAATGTGTCGGTTCACTTCGGAAAACTCTAGACCAGAAAAAAATTGAGATTTGTTCCGGCCTTATTGAGCATTACACGATTTTAATATGATAGCGATAAATGATTATGATAGAGTGATGTGCGTTGTTCGAGTATCGGGGACACTCTCGAGTCCCTTTGAATCTCGAAGGGGGTTACGGCAGGGTGATGGACTTTCGTGTCTGCTGTTCAACATCGCGTTAGAAGGTGTGATCAGAAGAGCTGGGATAGACACGAGTGGCACGATATTCAGGAAGTCCATCCAGCTCCTTGGTTTCGCCGATGACATTGACATTATGGCACGGAACTTTGATATGATGGCGGAAACGTACATCAGACTGAAGGCTGAAGCTAGACGGATTGGACTTGCCATCAACGCATCAAAGACAAAATACATGAAAGCAAGAGGTTCTAGGGAAGACAATGTTAGCCTCCCACCCCGAGTTCAGATTGACGGTGACGAAATCGAGGTGGTCGATGAGTTCGTGTATTTGGGCTCACTGGTGACCGCCGAAAATGATACCAGCAGAGAAATTCAAAGACGCATTATGGCAGGGAATCGTGCCTACTTTGGACTCCGGAGGACGCTCCGGTCGAATAAAATTCGCCGCCGCACGAAGTTGACTGTCTACAAGACGCTGATTAGACCGGTGGTCCTTTACGGCCACGAGACCTGGACTATGCTCGTGGAGGACCAACGCACTCTTGGTGTTTTCGAACGGAAGGTGTTGCGTACCATCTACGGTGGAGTGCAGATGGATGACGGAATGTGGAGGAGGCGAATGAACCACGAATTGCACCAGCTGCTGGGAGAACCATCCATCGTCCACATTGCAAAAATTGGGCGACTACGGTGGGCTGGGCACGTCATAAGAATGCCGCACGACGACCCAGTGACAATGGTTCTAGAAAGCGACCCAACAGGAACAAGAAGAAGAGGCGCGCAGCGGGCAAGGTGGATCGACCAAGTAGAAGGTGATCTGCGGACCCTTCGCAGACTACGAGGCTGGCGAACTGTGGCCATGGATCGAGTAGAGTGGAGACGACTTCTTCGGACAGCAGAGGACAACAAGGCCTTAGCCTGATTGGTAAGGTAAGTAAATGATTACTTGTATTACTTGTACTACTATGATACATATTTGAATGTACACGCATTGTTGTCATATAACTTTTTGTTTATGTATTTGAAGATGATGTATTTTGAATATACGTATAATCCCGCACAACTTGAACCTATAAGAGGTCAAATATCAACGTGTTGTTAATAATAGGCACTTATTCACCTTTATTTAAATCCGATCCGAATGATTCATTCCTGAGTGCTAGATCGAGAAAGTGCGAACAAACGTCAAAAAACTATATGGCAATCGCTGCATCACACACAAGTTCTAATTTCAACAAATTCAACATTCATTTTACCGAAAAGGTGCTGCGGATTTTTCATCGGCGTTACATAAATTTATTCGGCAGCGTGAAAGATTTTACTGTGGCGGCGCGCCGGCTCAATTTCATCGGCAGCGGCGGCGTATGAAAATCGTCGGCGGCGGCGGCGTGGCGCGGCGGCGCACAGGTCTATTTAATTCAAGACAATCTCCATACAACCTTTAATCCATTAGCGCCTCTAAACTTTAAACCATAATCAATCTTTACCACTTTTTGCACAGGCTCATATTTTGGGGTTATAAATCGAACGCTGAAAAATTTATCCTTTTTTCAAAATGAAGTATCCCAATGTCCGCCCTTTAAGATTTTTTAAACTGAGTTTTACAGAAGTTCAGGGACCTTCTTACAAATTAATGAAAACTCGTAGATTGTTGGACAACTTTGTAACATTAGAGCATGTCCCATTAAATTAAAATATACCCATTATTGTAATAGTTTGAAAGATAGGAGCTAGAACTAGAAATTGTAATAATATTTAAAATAAACTCGCCTATTTGAGCGCCGTCCGCTACGAAAACTGCACGAGTAGACAACTACCACCCCTTCTCAAGGGTTGGAAAAAGTGTGTGGGAAGGAAGTTCAGTCCTCCCATTGCGAGCCAGGGAGAAGATAAATAGGCGCTCGATCGCTTGATGGGGTCTCTTTTGTGGAAAACCTTTTGTACGCGAGTGGATGAAATTTTTAACCTATGTCCGAAAAGTGCGCCTAAAAAAATATTAACCACGATTGCTCACAGGATTCCTACGAGCATCCCTGCCGCAAGTGCCCCGACGCCTGCGACGACGCAGACGTAACCTCTCAATCGACAAAGTAGGCAGCCCCTGAGGGTAAAGGTAAGTTGCATGCTACCTTCGTAATGTTATAACTTGTCAAAACAAAAGGAAATGTGATCTTCATTCATGAACTTCATGAAACCTTAAAAATCTTCAGAAATTTCATAACACCTTTTAAAAAAATTTAGAATTTCAGGAACTACGTAGAAAGAGTTCAACTATTATTTTAAAATCTCTGTGAACTTCAGAAAAATCCAATGAACTCGTTAAGCTTCAGGGAATTTCTTGGAAATGCAAATTATTTGGCAACACTTCTTCAAACGTTATAGATTTTTTTTTAGAAATTTGGGGAAGCTCGTTAAAGAATTGGCATTTTTCACTACCTTCATTGAGTTTTTTTGAACGTCAGTAGCTTTAACGATGTTCAAGTGAAATCGTTGAAATGCTTCAAATCTAATAGAAGAGTTTCGATTTTTTTGAAAATTTCACTGAAGTTAATGAAATTTTGTTTATTGTAGAAAACATTTAAAAAAATCCAGGACCTTCTTTTGTCTTAAGCACTTTTTAATTTTTTTTATTTAGAATGTTAATTGGGATTTCAAACTTTTTATACAAATTTAGGGAACAGAAAATAAACTGAATTCAGCACTTTTTGTACAAATTGGGCGAATTAAATAGAAAATCTAGAAACTTCGCAAAACACCTTTGAAGAGCAAGGAATTATGTAGAAGTTCAGGGCACTTTACAAACCTCGGGATGGTTTGAAGAATTTTGTGAAATTCAGTATGTTTTGTAATTGGGAATATTGTAGAAATTCATCATAATTTGTTGCATCTTGGTCAAATCTCCAGGAACAGTCAATGAGCCATAGGAAATATTTAAATTTCAGCAACCTTGTTAACAATTTAGTTGTAGTTTGTGTAAGCTATTAACAAATCGTATATAGGAAAAGGGAAAAGTTAAATTGATTGGGAAGAAGTTCAGGGAGCTTTATTTGAGTTCATAGAATTTAATTCAAGAAACTTTGCAGAAGTACAGGAACTTTCGAATATGTTTTATAGAACCTAGCTAATATCCAAAGATTTTCAATATAATTTCAATTCAGTACTCTGGATGTCTTTCAAAGTGTTGAAAAATTAAAAGGTTTATTCAGTATTATTTTGAAGATCAGAAACACTTCTTCGCAGAAATTAAAATGATTTCAATAATAAGACATATCTTCAAAAGGAATGAAGAGGTTCATTCTAAATACGAGACGTTTGCGTGTAGCAAAAATTATGAAGGCCAATCATTGCTCCGGTATTTATTTATTAAGTCTCTGGGGTGAACCAGCTCTAGGAAAGTGTACGCCTTTACCCAATCTGCAGTGATTTTTTTTTGTAGTTTATGATAAATACATTTTTTGGAAAATAAAAAAATAAGCTAGTAGACTTTGTAAAATACCGCCCCTCCTACCTCGTAGACTAGCGTGGACATTTTGCTACCCCCTAGAAAGTCTATGTGGATTATGAACGGCCCCTAAGCTTCGCGTTAAATACTCATCCTTTATGCGTAAGCTTATGATTTAGAATTGAGATAGAGACAGTTATCTGCAACATGGCTATTATTTGAAACGGTTAAACATTTAGTTGTAGAACTTAAATATGAGCTCTGATTAAAAAAAAAAAAACCTTGAAAGATTTTCCTCTACTAATTGCAAATCCCACCCGACTCATTCTAAACTCCATCGTCTCCCAACTGCTCGTTGCTTCCATCTACCAGCGAACCGCCGCACGAGCTTCTTCCTCTTGGCCGCTTTCACTAACATCTCGACAACGAAGGCGACAAGGGCTGCTCCATAACCGATGCCGAGCAACAACAGCCCTCCCTCGATCTCGTCCACCTCCATCTCCTTCAGCTTGTTCGGAGGCCGATCCCTCGAGTGTTCGATCGATATCTGCACCGGTTGGTTCATGTACCGAAAGACGTCCATCTGTTCGACGAACCGCGAAAGGCAACCATCCCGATACCACATCGACAGGTGATCGAATTCCCCCAGTAGAGGCCAAGTTTTCGTCGCGTAACCCGTGTCGTATTCGTAGTAGAGAAAATCCGACATGAGCCGGTAGTTTTCGATATTTTCTGCCGTGAACCATTCGCCTACCATGGAATGACCGAAGTGCAACTTTGCCATGACGATCGGTTCGACTCCAAGGTTCGCAATGGTTTTTAAGGCCGGAATCGGAGCAACGTTGAACTTGGTCAGGATCTGTTTGATGTGAGGCTGGAATCAGGGTTGGGATGATAATATTCCTGTATAGTATCAAAGTCGACTCCAAGCTTACATTTTCGCTTTCAGCGATAAGGTACATCCACACTTCATGTGGAGCATTCCAGCGGAGACCACTCTCGGCAAAATCGACGATGGTATCGACCGGTGGTTCATACACAGGAATGGCCAAAATGCTGTGGATCTTACCAATGTAGACATAGGCAACGATTAAAGTGAAGGCCAAAAGTGCTACCGAGATCATGACTTCAGAAGCTCGACTTCGACGCATCGTTGACGGTAACAGCAGAAAGACGCAAAGGACATTGAGGACACTCCAAGAAAGGCCTCTCCTATTTGGTGACCAAGAACCAATCTTCGTGGGCATGTAGTTATCCAGAAGGGATATCACAATGAACGTGATAATCGTCAAAGCCCAGACGGTTTTTGAAAACATCATGAAAATAATTCTCCAGTACTCAATCAACCTGGAATCGGAGAAAAAAAATCCAATATGTAGGAAAGTGCCTTCCCATTTTGCTATTTTCATACGTCGGTCTCGGCTGCAAGCAGGTAATTCCGATCCATTGAATGGGGATCGAGAAACTAAAGTAGTGGAACAGTTGATGCCACGCTCCAACGGCGGCCAAAGCGAAGTCGGCTTTACGTTCAACCAGCGCTCCAACCATCCCATTTCCAGTGCGGTTTTGGAAAACTTGCCCGTACTGCCAGTATTGGTCTATGGAAAAGCATTGGCTAGATAAGGGCATCGAGCAGAATTAGCATTTTAGAACTTACCTATCAGCAGCTCCCAGGTACAGTTCAAGCGCTGACAGAACAATACCAACAGATATCCATCCAAACCATCGATCGTGTACGACTGATTCTGATATTGCACAATTCCATCGTCGGTCTGGCGTGTCATTACCCACGGTAGCAAATAAAACGATGCCAATCGGTAGGTCTTTCCCATCAGGTCGGTAAGTTTGTTCGGGAACAGCGAATTTCCTTCCAAAAATGATCGGTTCCCCGGGTAATATGTATCCAAATGTAGAAGCTCCAATGCCTCCGGAGGATTGCCAACGTATCGGTGAGTCAAAAGTTCGAAAGTCCTGCCATCTGGAACGATTAGGAGCAAATTGGCGATCTCCTGAATCGCCGGGTGATTTTGGATGTCCTTTAGAATATCGGTTATTCTAGCCTCGGAGCCAGTTTCAATGGATATGATGACAAATTTTTCAGGTTTTCGAAACATGGCCTCGTCGTGCAGTGGTATGTAGTTGTTAAGAAATGTCAAAGCGACGGCCCCGTCTACCACAAACACGGTGCTACCGAGATTGATGGCCGCTATCATTGGGTTGTTGTTCGTCCAGAGACTTTTCCTATCTACGTCGAGCACCACGAATGGTAGCTTGGTTTGAATGTTGATTGTTTGGTTTGTTGAATGAGAAAGGATTCTGCATAGAGTGAACATCCCCAGGAAATAGGTCGTTACTGAAAATGAAGCAAGTTTGAATGATTGTGTTGTACATATTATCATACGAAATATTCAGTTTATATGATGGCAAACTTTATACGACCAGCGATAAAAAATACAACCTAAAAAGATTTTAGACTGTAACTCAATGCCCCAATAACTATAGAAGTCATGTTTAATGTTCAGAACGTTACGATTTCTGCATACATATTCTCCCATTGCATATCTTACACATTTAAGAGAGAGAGAGCCTAGTATGATTCGAGGGTAGACACTAGACTGATGCAAAATTTGAAATTTTCGCTCCACAGTGCTCAAACGGTTTCAAATCAGGTCCTGATTACCCTCCCAAAATTTAAACTCATTTGGCACAAACTATTCGAAGTTTATATGGAAATTACTATGGGAAAACCAAACTTTTTGTTCATTGTCTTCAACCCATTTTCCATATTGCTTTTTCGAAAACTTCAATAACTATTCTTACGGGAAATTTTCTAAACTACAACTTTGCCCAATATCGTTTTTAAGCCAAATGTCAAATTAAATTGTTATTAATTGTTTAAGGGATTGATAATCTTATAGCATGATCAAGCAGCTGCTATGTGGGCAACACTGTATTCTGCAGTGTGACATAGTAGCCATGATATGTGTGCTCTATTCTTCGCACCAGAAACAACAATGTTGCCTGCTGAACAGTTGAATGAGCATAATCATAAGACATCAGTTACATGAATCATTAATAACTTTTGTTCCTCACATTTGATTGAAAACTGGTTTTCAACAAAGTTGTAGCTTCGAAAAATTTCTACAATTACTGTTATCATTTTTAAAAGCATAGTGATGAGGTGAATTGTTAGATAAATATGAACAAAACATTAGTTTTCCCATAGTAATTCCCATATAAACTTGAAATGGATTGTGCCAAGTCAGTTTCTTACTAAAGAAGGGAGGCTAAACAGGACCCAATTTGGAACCGTTTAAGCACTGTGGAGCGAAAATTTCAAAATTTGCATCAGTCTAGTAGACACCCTGGAAATGTTGGTGTTTTCAGATAAATCAGTTCAGAAGTCTTTGGGACAGGTCCAGTGCACTTCGTTTGAGCATCGGGAGAGATATGAAGGACTTAAATTTCATTTATGTACGTTGATCGTGACTGATCAGGAAGTGTTAACTTAAACAATTGGAGCACCCCTAAGCTCAGTCGGTAAAGGCTCAGCTGTAAAGAAATACCATGATGGAAGTGGCTGGATTCATTTCCCGATCTGGTCTAAGAATTTTTCGAGTTGAATAATTTCTCGACTTCCTTGGACATAGAGTATGATTGTACTTGTCACACAATTATACTAATGTAAAAATGGTACAGGCTCTCATCTCAAAAAAACATACCAATAAATTTTGAATATTTGATTCACCCTTAGTCAAATTTTCAGAGATTTTGATGCGTATACTAAAATTTAGAGCTTTTTAAGCAGTCAAAAAATTCCCGGTTTATACATTATTCGCTTCTAGCCTATCGATATTTCGAAGCATGGAGAAAACAGTGGAGAAAGCAAAGGTCTGATAATCGCAACGTTCGTGGTTCGAGTCCAGCCGGCAACACTTTTTCTTGTTTTCGACATGGTTAATTTCACTCACTAATAAACTTCACATTTTTCTTTCTCCATTTTCTTGTAATGGATCGCAGTTAGGTACATTGCATCCTCGGTTCATGCGGTCTCCACTAACATCCTGCGATGATGAATCCCTCATAATTGTAAGCAAAGCTTACATTCTTCGGCTCGGTGTACATGGAGTATAAATTAAACATATCCTACGGTTTTGGATTTGGTAACAATGCACTGTGGTTCAGGAAGCAAAATTAGGTGGAATAAATTAATAACTCGAAAAATATTAGAGATAGCGTATTGACGTCTTCTAAACATTTTCTTGTGAGCTTTATTCGCGTTGGTTGCAAAAGTGTCCTAAACGCCAAATTCTACCAGCAACGTAATTTGGCCTCTAACTTTTTTATTTTAATAGATAGAGAAACTAAATATTGTACAAAGTTGTGAATTATAAAAAAATAGAAAACTTTCTTGAACATCTTTTTTGTTTATCTCTTCTATATTTGGAGATATAAGCCATTTAAAAAAACAAAAGCCAAAAATCAGTTTTTCTGTCATATTTTTTTTAAATATCACTTTTTCGGCCTACTATGTTCCGAACGATTATAGTTAATTTTAAAATACATATTTGCTCCAAAGACACTATACCAGTACAAGTCTCCTGTCAAAAGTTATCGTCAGTTTTGTAGTCTTTTAGCTCAAATTTTCAAGCGTAATATTTCAAAATGGCGCAAGTACAACCGATAGTGATACATATCACTTTAAAAAGCATATCAAGAAGTACATTTTAGCAACTTTTGGTGAAGGTAATTTTTGATTTTTTTAAATAAATGCACTTTGAAAATAGGGGTTTTTATTCCATAAATCTACATTGTTCGGACTTCTTTCGAGTATCAAAGAACCAGATCGATGATACACTATTTTGTGAATACATTTATATAATATATAGCATATAATATTCAAAATAGCATAAGAAATGGAACCCAAGCAAGACTGCTAATGCCCTTAACATAAACAAGAATATTATTTATAGGTATGCGTATTTCATACACAAACAGACGAATTTGAAAATTTTAATCAATCATTCACTGCGGTATGAGTTAAAGCAAGCGTTGATTTTTGAGACGCTGAATTGTTCATTTCAAAACGTTGCAAAATGAGAAAAGGTATTTTTTTTTCAAGTGCTTTCATTATATTAACTCAGATTTTATTTATCAGCGATTCGTTTGGCCGATCTTACCCTTCTTCTCATGAACGGAGATAAGGTAAAAGATTTATTGGAATTTGTAAAGAAAAAGTTTTCTGGAGAAGAGCTGGACGTAAGTTTGGTGCAAAGGAAGCTTACCCTGGTGATGCTGAAGTTTCAGAAACTTTGGCGAGCAGCTGGAAGGAAACGTGAACGATTTTTGAAGATCAATGACGCTTGGCTTGGAGGAGAATTTATTGTCGATGTCCATTCGCCCTCAAAATCATTCGTTGGTCGTCCTTCTAAGCCGTTCAAAGATGCACACAGAAAATCAAAGAAAAGCAGGGTTCAATCTCTTCTTAATCAATTTTCGGCAGAAGAAATTTCGTTTGCTGCAGAAACATCTGTAGCCTCCGCAGGGTTTCGCAAATTGCCGGCTTTGATAGGAAAAATAGCACAAAACCCCGAGACGGCAATCGAGCTACAGCGTTCAGCAGATCGATCAAAACACGGATTCGAAGCTCTTACAGCAGAGGAAGCTCTTGCATTCTTATGCAAAAACGAGTTTTCAAAGGCTCAGTACATGAACATCCGGCAGATGAATATAAGCAAGGGCGTGGACATGTACCCAGCTTATAACAAATTGGTTGAAGCTAAGAAACTATGCTATCCTTCAGGTATGTTAAACATAGAGTCAATAATATTGAATAATACCTATATAATGATATATTAGGTCTCTCTATCCATTCATCTGTTGCTGAAGTGCCTTTACAGGAACTTGTGGAGCACACCACGAAACGGCTTTTTGCAAGCGTGATGAGCAGAGCGACGTCCCAAAAGGTGGTACCATACGACGATTATACACTTATCTACAAATGGGGTTGTGATGGGAGCAGCAACCATGCTAGATATAAACAATGTTTTTTCGAGGAGGACGAGGATGAAGAGTTACAGGAATACAGCGATTCCCATATATTCGCGTTTTCATTAGTTCCTTTAAGGTTAACTGGACATCGTGAAGCAGAAGAAACCCAAGAAATTGTTTGGAATAATGATCTGCCATCGTCAATTTCGCTTTGCAGACCGATAAAATTGATATTTGCAAAAGAGTCAACCGAGTTGACAAAACGGGAGGTTTCGCTTATGAATACGCAAATTCAAAATTTGATGAATGTGGAAGTAATGTTGGAGAACCGATCTGTTTGTGTAAAACCCCAAATGATGTTCACAATGCTGGATACAAAAGTCGTAAATGATTTAACCGGAACGAACTCTCAATCATGCTACATTTGTGGAAGGTCTGGAAAATGTTTGAACGATTCCAGAAGCGATCCAGATTCTGATGATCCAGCCAAGTACAAATTCGGGTTTTCTCCTCTGCATGCATATATTAGAACGATGGAAATGGTTCTGAAAGTGTCGTATAGACTGGCCCTTTATAAACCTACATGGCGTGTAAGCAAGGCAAATGAAGCGGTGAAAGCTAGATAAATCGAAATTCGAAGCAAGATACGTGCGGAATTTGGTACGTATGGTTAGCAATTTGCAACATTATATTTTTGTTTTTGAAGATATAAGATTTTACCAGATTTTGTCCTTTTTAACAGGATTACGCATCAGTGAGCCTATGCCTGGTGGCGGAAATTCTAATGACGGAAATACCGCCCGGAAGTTTTTCCGTGAATGGAAAGCTGCAGCAAAAATTACCGGTCTCAATGAAATTCTGTTGGAGCGATTTCATATTCTGCTTACTGTAATTAACTGTAAGTCGAAGATTAATTATAATTCTTTTGAAATTTATGCTGAAGAGACTAGAGCTTTATACCAGAAATTATACGGTTGGTATGCATTGTCTCCAACAGTGCACAAATTGCTAGTCCATGGGGCTGGCATTATTAAATACACGGTACTTCCGATTGGAATGTGCAGCGAAGAGGTTCAGGAGACGAGGAATAAATGCATCCGGAGATATCGCGAGCTCCACTCCCGAAAATTCAACAGAACGGTTAATATTACGGATGTATTCAACAGATTGCTTTTATCATCAGATCCTGTGATTTCATTAAGCAATAGAGCATCTTTGTCTTTGAACAATCCTGCACTACCAGATAAAGCCAAGCAGTTAATTTTTGAAAACTAGCTTTATTTTTTATGTATTTTTTGTTTTTGGTTTAGTCAGTAGCATATAACTAGTTGTAAATATAAATATTTACTGTAAATCATCCAT